AGACACACACACACACAAACACAGACAAAGACACAGACACACGCACGCACGCACACCTACACACACACACACACACACACGCACACAAGCACACACATACACACACACACAAACACAAACACACACATATGCACAAGCACACACGCACACAAACAAACACACACACACAGACACACACACACACACACACACACACACACAAAACACATATATATATATATATATACACACGCACACGCACGCACACGCACGCACACATGGACACTGGCAGAGCCGGATGTGTTGCTACATAAACTAACTTTTGACTGGATTTTAGCTGGGTCCTGGCAGGATTCCAGCTTGACGCTGATTGAGCACGGCCACGCATGGCTGAAGTCGCATTTCGATTCCATGGAGTCGGATGTCTCTCAGACATACAAGGACCTGCAAGCCACAAGCCGAAGCCCTGACCCAAGCCCTACAATCGACATGGATTCCATCGGCCATGGGCCATAAACGCCATAAACCATTTATATAATTATAGAAGTAAGCTGACACACCGGCCTCCTCCCCACCATGCATAGAATCCATGCCATACAATCCATACAAGCCAGTTCGCGGTCGGAGGAGGTGCAAGGCAAGCTCGCAGTGCTCGTCAGCCTTGCTGAGAAGTACGGCCAGGAGTGCATCGAGGCAAACCAGCCGATGATCACTGACGTCACGAGCCTCCTGGAAGCGGTCATGGTAATGCTGAGCGAGGCTTTGCTGCTGAGAGCGTTGCAGCTGCCAAATGCAGAAGATCGGAAAGCTTCGGTCGTGCTGCAGATGAAGCGGATGACTAACAAGGTGAAGCCACGTGCTATCGATGCGACCATTTTGAATGCCGCCTCTCAGGCGACTCGGACGTGAGGTCAGATATGCACAGGCACGGCACAGTCGGCATGGCAGAGCGGATGCAGTGTACTGTATGCCCTGTATGCAATAATTGTGTGTGTGTAGCTGCTACGTACCTGCCCCGATTACGAAGAATGAGTTGCTTTGTGCATTCAGCTTTTGCCTCTTGCTGTGCATTGCTGCATGCAACGCTGATTTTGCCGCTTGCAGCGCTTGCAATATGATGATGGGCCTGGAACGGGCCTCAGCAGGGCAGAGGCAGGCACGTGGCCCATGGCCCATGGCAGACGTGACGTGACATGGCAACATGGCACATGACGGACGTGTCACATGACATCATATGACATATGACGTATGACACCATGTATGAAATAAGACATATAAGACACATGAGTAAGAGTAGACGGTAAGAGTAAATGATTGTAACTGTTTCTGGTAATATGACATGAAACCGACACTATGGACTGTGACGATGGCACTATGGCACACTATGGCTACTATGGCTACGCAATCTATGCCATGCTCCATGCTATGACTATGACTCTGTCTTTCACTGAGTCTTTGACTAGCAGACTAGCAGCTAGCAGCTAGCAGCTAGCAGTAGTTTAATAGTAGCGCCCGCCTCTGTTGTTGCGCCCAATCTGCAGCATTATCGTGCACAGGGCCTGGGCAGGGCGAATGGCCAAGTTTGGGAGAAAAACATGGTCGACACTCTAGACCTAGATTCTCTAGATTCTGGAGGTGCTTGGCTGACTTTTCCTGCTTGGCTTGAGCTCTGTCAGTGCTGACGTCATTGACTCATTGACATTGAGACATTGAGTTGCAGGGCTGACGGTGCAACGGCTGGTGCTGAAATTCTATTTACTTGCACCGTATTCGCATATGGCATATGGCGTACTGTGAGCCATGCAAGCTGTCGCATTGAAGCACATGTTACCCTTTGCCAGCTCCAGCTGTTCATTGCGTGCGATTGTAGGCACAGAAAGCCAGGCCAAGCGTGAAGCAGTAACGGTACCGGTGTCGGATGTTGCAGGCACTTCAATCACGTGACGGTTGTTAGACAAAATGTATGTTCTGTCTTTGGTCTTTGGTTTGCTAATATGGCCTGGCGTGGTTTTGACTCTCTTTGGCTAGGACCCAGGACCCACTGTCAACACAATGTAGACTGTAGCCTAGGCCTAAGACCAGAATGACCTAGAAACTGCAGCGCGCAGTGTGGGCCACGAGGCCCTCGGTCAACAAGTACAAGCAGCTAGGTCAGGGTTCCGGCCAGACAACGGCTCGCGGCTCGAGCAATCCGTTGCAAAAGACCAGATGCAGAGCAGCACCGCAACGCCAGTGGCAATCCATGACTCATGACCCCCTTTCTCTCTTTGCGACCCCGGAAGCCAAAACAGCACAAAGCCCCAAACCCGTAAAGCTGTTGAAAGCCTAAACCCCCTAAGCTCCTGAACCCTAAACTCCTAATCCCTAAGCCCTTAAGCCCTGAACCCATCGAAGCCCGAAGCCCTAAGCCTTTAAGCCCCTTCGACCCTGGCGGCAGGTATGCTTTGTTCAAGAACGGCCCGGCGCTGAGCAAAAGTCCGCATTTCGAGTTCGTGAGGGTTCCCTTTCAGGGTTACCCGTTACCTTAAAGGTTCCTGTAAGGCTGGTTCCTTTACGGGCTCCTTTACGGGGACGCTTCAGGGCTAGAGGTTCCCTTTAAGGGGTACCATTAGGGTTTAGGATAAGAGGTCTGGCTTTAAACCATGCTGGATCAGATGAGAGGTGACCTTTCCTTAGGTTTGCGCGAAGACTGCAACGCGCGATTTAGGGGTTTTTCAGGGCGGAACGAAAAAAAGGGCAGATGAGGGCCAAGTGTTGGAGGCATTGTACCCAATTAGCAGGGCGTGAAAAATAAACCCTAAACCCTAAACCCTCACCCCTAAACCATGCATCCCAATCTCCCGATGCTTTGCCATGTGCAGCGGTTTGCCAGCTTCCCTGAGCTAAGCTCAAAATCACATACCACAGACAATACACAGTCATTTGTAGTGCTTAGGGTTCAGGGGTAGGATGGGGCAGGTGGGTGTGTGTGTGTGTTCTGTGCTCTGTACTTCGAGTTTTACATTGTACCCCTTTGTCTTGAGCCTGGTCTTTTATTCGGATTCCTGCCCGGAGCACAAACCTACACACTAGCCGAAGCGTGTCGGTTTGCGATGAGGGATGGGGGAGGCAGAAGTTGCTTGGAGAGTGACTTCCTCCGCATTGGAAGTCCCAGAGCCCCAAAGCAAATCCTGTCATAAGTAAGTTTCGCGGAACCCAAATCCAGACCTCAAGACCTTGTAAGTCCTAAACCCCCGAACCCTACGCGATATTGAGACGATCTCGCCCGGAACCCCGGCGTGAACTATCAAAACCTGCTGTAAGATCACTTAACATTCCATTGTAAGGTTTTGCATGAAGCCCCTATATGTGGGAACGTAGGTTATAGTATTTTGAGGCATCCACGATCGGCGGTGAAATCTTAGAACGCACGTATTGCTCCGTTCGGAAAGGTCAGAAAGACGGCCAGGTGAAGCTCATTACTGAGGCCCAGTTTTGGATTCGGAGTCCTCTTGAGTTGGGCTGACGGGTCGAAGACAGTTTAGGCTCCCAGAGTTGTTAACCTGGGGAGTCTGCATTCCCTCCTTTCTCTCCTTCTGTCATGCATAATTACGCGGTCCAAAAAGCACAGCGAGAAATAGAGGGATGAGGGGACGGAGCAAGAGAGCGAGCGCTGTCGGGGCCGTATTCACTCGTTTTGCTTGGCAGTGAACCCGCAGGACTCAGCAGGCGGAGTCGTCCTGGACTTCAACTGGAACAGCCAAGCTCGTGTGACTCGGATGCAGCCATCCTGCTTGAGCTTTCCACGCAAGGGCGGGAAAGGCCAACTTTGTCAGTCGTCTTTGATGGCAGCAGGAGCGTTGGCCTGCCCTCTGTGCCTGGCCCAGCTACCTGTATGGTAGGTTGTGGTCGATATTTTAGCTTGGCGCAGTGCCTCCCTAGATGAGTAATTGGACTTCCCGTGTATCAGAAGCTTTGGTGTGTCGTTGCTGCCGGGGCTGCGCATACAGATGGGGAGTGGGTAGGGGGCGTCTTTTGGGACTGAGGGTGTGCATGAGGGTTTAAACGTCCAGTTAAGGAGGTTTCTTGTTGGATTGTTTTAATACAGAGTTTATGGGTCTTTGATTAGGTTTACACGGGGGCTGTAAGGTTTGGATGGTTTGGGTTTACTTGTTGGGTTTAGGGTTTTTAGGGTTTAAGGCAGAGTGATGGGCAGGGCCGGTGGGAGTGTTTCTGGCTAATTTCTTGTAAGTTTCACCGAAACCCGAAGTCCAGCAACCGAGGTCCAGCGTCGAAACAGCCTCGCGATGAAGAGTCGAACCTCCATTCCGTACCACGATGCAGGTATGGCTGTACACCTTTGGGGTACTCATACCGTTTGGTCCCTATTTGCCCTCAAAACCTCACTTGTCTTCCAGCGGGACAGATCTGGATAGGGAGGCTTTAATTTCGGGCTTAGACATATCGGGGTTTGGGGAAAGCTTGGGTTTCAGTGAGGGTCTGGGATTCACGGCTGCCAATGTCAATGTTTAGTTAAGTCGCACTCCTGGCACGTACGGAACGCTAGATTTAACAAAGGATAGTAGTAAGGGTGTAGTGTTCTTCGCGAGGCTGTGCTGTCTTGACCTTTGTGGGAAACTGCGGACTTCACTTGATCTGCTCATGCCCGTACTAATTATAATTTTAGGGGTCGCCTCTATTCTTACACGCCGCGCTCCAAACTCTGTACCTCGGATGCCTTATACGTGAAGCTAAACCCAACTCAAAAACCAAGGACATAAATCGCCTAAGGCTTAAATGAAGCACCAGCACTACTACTACTACTACTA